TTTAATTTGACAAATAACTATAAAAAAATATTTTGGGTTGTGTTTTTTACTTAGTATTTAATACTAAGTTTAGGTACCTTTATACGTAGATTATGGTATATTTTACTATTATATAGGTAGTACCTAACTGAACTGAATATGCTTAACAGAATGTTCCAGGAATATTCCTCAATGAACTTTCTATAGCAATTACTTTCTCAACATTCTAAGCATATGTTTAAAGTATATTAATTTTTACCACTAAACTTTGAACCTTCTAGGAACCTGCCTATAGGCCAGTGAGAATATTCTTAGGATTATGCTGTATTTCTTTTAAGCATGTTCTTTGGAAGAAATATAACATGATCCTAAGAATATTCTCACTGGAAGGTTTAAAAAACATTCTTAGAACATGACTAGAAGAAATATAGCATGATCCTAAGAATATTCCCACTGGAAAGTTTAAAAAACATTCTTAGAATAAACTGTGCTATCAGGGTACTACCCAGTATTAATATAATTTATCGTGCAATATTATCGATTAAATAATAGTATTTTAAAATCAATTTTTCCTTTCATAGGCTCCACCCAAATACGAGTTCAAATATGGAGTAGCCGATGGCCATACAGGCGACAACAAACAACAATCCGAAGTACGTGTTGGTGATGTGGTAAAGGGAGAATACTCCCTCCAGGAACCTGATGGTACCATCCGTGTCGTAAAATACACCGCTGATGACCACAACGGTTTCAACGCTGTCGTCATCAGAAAAGGACATGCTGTTCACCCGCAAATAGTTAAGAAAGTGGTTGCCACCCATGGAATCGGTATCGGGGTGGGAGGTCTTGATGGAGGTATTGGATTGGGAGGACATGGACTTTTGGGATAGAATAAATGTTTTTTCTTCGGAGTTATTTATGTTGCCATGCATTGTCATTCTTAAGTTTTTAGTTGTTGTTGCTCATCCATTACTGTATAAGCTTTGTTATTTAGAGAATGTTTGTAAATATTTTATTTAATTTAATAAACAACACATGTTTGCCTACCTTTACTTTTTATTTAAAACCAATATGTAACGTAAAATATTAACGATATTAAATTGATTTATTAATGTGTACTTTATATTACTATCATAAAATAATAAAGCAACTTTATCACTCTTGACGAATTTAAAACGAAATCTGGAGGATATTATAGTGTTATTTCAAAAAATACATCATGAACTTACATAAAAAGCAATGGTCATTGTTTAGTCAAACTTCCAATATAATTGGGTTGAAAAGGACAATAAACCAAAAGAGCAACCAGGATTCCACAATTTAAAAAAATATCCAAAACAATTAAAAAGTGCTTTGAAGAGACAAAATGTCTTAAAAAGTGCTTTAACGAATCCACAAAAATGATCTTCAGATTACTTATAAAAAATAATTATCCTCATAAATAAAAAATAAATAAAGTTAAAGCTTAAATTATTATATAATTTAGTACAATTGGACGCCTTTCTGCAGAAAGGAACCAACCCACAAAACCAAAAAAATCGAGATATTCAGCCTATGAACTAATTAAGTATGTATAATTTATCTGCAAAATAGGTCATAGCCAAAATTCAAGTGTAGTGAAATCTATTAATCATTGAACCAACCAACATTCAATAATAGTGTGGATTACTAATCCATAATTAAAATCTGTAGAATATCTGCAAGTGGGTTGGATCTTTTTTGTAAAAAGGCAGGCTGGTAGACCCACTACCAAAGTCTTTAAAGATTTCCTGCTTCTGTAAAATATAAAGTCTTGATGCATTTTTTTGGTAGCTTACAAGATAAGGTGGGGTTGGATGATGAATTTCAAATAGAATTAAAATTAATTCATATTACCATTATAATAGTAATATCAGTTGTATTTTGTTTGGAAATAAATAATTGTCGCTTTCTTTAAATACATACATACATCAGATAGTAGTTTTCATAAATTGCAGAAAGGAACCAACCAACAAAAGCCCATTTTTTTCGTCACCCTTACACATAACATCACAAAATCCACCTGATGAAATTATTAAATTATATCCCTTAAACCTCCGTAAGTCCAAAATCGGCATAAAATTAACAGGTAATTTTAAAATTATTAAAATCTTTGATAGCTTTTTTCTCAGTTTCATCATGGTGTGGGTCCCATTCTGCAGAAAGCCGTCCAATTATAAGGTAATATTACTGCAATAAAAAAATATATATGTACCCCAGAGCCAAACTGTATTAAGTAATATTTACATTTTCCTCCCTACATTTTTTTGCTCTTTTTAATGGTGAACCAGATTTAGTCCTGGCTTACTTAGTTTTTTACACCCAGAGACAATAATATTAAGTCCATCGTTTGTGGGAGTTAATATTATTTATCTACGCCAGTGAGATAAGAACTTCTTATCCCACTCATTTTGAGTGAGATAAGAAGTTCATTAACGCACGCGTTTTTCTCTGCTTTTAAACAATCAAATAAAAAAGTCAAAATGTCAAAATGTCAAAATAACCCTAAATTAAGTCTTAGACAAAAATAATTACCGTTTATTTTTTCATTTAGAGGCGTAGATAAAAATTTGTACAATATACGTGTGATAACGCTTTATTAACATACTTTTGCGATTGCCCAACTCGTGCTACGCACTCGTTGGGCAAATTTCGCATGCGTACGTTAATAAAGCTCTTATCCCACTTATATCGTAAATAACTATTAGGTGTGCTAAATTATTCTGAAGCCATATAATTTTTTTGTCCAGTTGTCAAGTATCAAGTCAAACAAATTTTTGTTTTATTTAAACACCTGTTAAGAAATTTTGGTATTAACTTACTTAAATATTTAGTTCATCATAAAATCCATATATTAGCAGTACTATTTTACATTAAACAATACATAAAACGAACAATTGTAATAAATATTAAAAATAAAAAGTGAGGTTGGATTAAGTGTGACAGTAGTCGAATTTTTTATTGGTCTAATTTATTTTTACAGCCAAGGATGCTTTTTAATTGAAAATAAATAAAATTATGCCTTAAAAATAAAATGTTGTATGCCATACGGCTGAGAAGTATCTTTTTGTGCTTTGCTTAATTGTAGGCCTTCACTAAAATCACGTCTAAAATCATTTTATATCCCATCTTCATACTTGAACTGTAGTATTGATTTTAAATGTTTTACCTCAAAACTTAATACTACAAAAAATAACTTTTTAAAAATAAAAAATTTAAATTAAAATATATAATTGTAATTTTATAAGTGCATTAGCAAGTACTCACCTTATTTCTTTTATAAAAATTGTTTTTAAAATTACTACATTTTTACTAAGCAGTTGCATAGTAAAATTACGAAATGTTGTATTGCAATTGTAATACGCATTTGTTCTAATATTACCTTCGGAATTTAATTTTACTTTTAAGATAACCAATTAAATTACTAACCAAAATTTGCTATTTGAATTACAATAAGTGTTTGGAAATAAAAAAATCATTATTTATATTTTACAACTTCTGTTTGCATTTTTACTATATATCATTTTAATCATGTATACTGTTAAAATTTGTTGTAAAATTACAATTGTATTGCAAAACAAAGGATGAGTAAAATTACAAATCAGTGTACCTACATATACCAATACAAAATTATAATACAATTTTAGTAATCTTTCAAGACATATTGGAAAATCTACTAAGATAAGTTGTAATTTTACAATCTATACGTATAAATCCTACACGCATTGTAATTTTACTAAACAGTTTGACAGTTTCTAATAAAAAGCATGTAAGATTTACAAACGTGGTTTGTAATTGCTATAATGTTATGTAAAATGCTTAGTGTGTACCGATTGCGGCAATCACGTGATGTTCTTACATCTCGGCTCGGTTGACTTAGGTGGACAGTATATAATCTCAGGTGTCTTTCGTTTTTGGTGTGTTCCAATACACCAAATTGCCCGACATTGATAAGACCCAAAATAGGTCTATCTGTCTAGCTGTCTGTCGGTATTTGAAGTTGGTGGAACCCACTTTAAACAAAAATTTGGCGAGGTGAAAGTTCAATTTTTTTTAAATCTTTACAGTAATGGGTAATACTTTTCTTGAAGAAACTAAGAAAATTGCAGGTTTTTTTCCGTAGTATAATTACAATACCATAATTCGTAAATTTACATATTTAGTATTTTTTTTTAGCAAAATTACATTACCTGTATAGTAATGTTACTGAACAAATTTTTAATAAATGCTTAGTGAATTTTATCAAACGTTTTGTAATTTTCCCAATAATGTAAGGAATCGTGTGGTGAATTTACAAAACCAAGTTTTATTATTACTATATTGAGGTGCGTAAAAACTTCCTAAACATGTTTAGTAAAATTACAATAGAAATTTTTAACAGTGAAGAACTAAATTTAAAATATACGAATATTGTTTTACAAGTTATATTTAATTATGTTGACAAACTCACAACCTCTTTGTTTGGTATATTTTAGTTTTATTAATATAGGTAATATTGAAATTACTAATATATAAAAATTAATAATTATTATTTGAAAAAAAAGATAAGTCAAAAAACCGAGCTTTCTAAAATTAGAAAAAATAACAAAAAGCTAACTTTAGGAACTTAAAAATTAGTTTTTGGTTGTTTTTTAGTAAAAAAAAAGTATTTAACGGTCTCGATTAAAACGTATACACTTTTTATCTTTTTGCCGATTTTTTTATGTTTTGCATACTCTTCTCTAAAAATTTACATACAAAACATTTTATTTTACAAATTAGATAACATCCGCTTATCATATGATTGAGTAGATACCGGCCGGCGAGAAATATTTATTTTAATTGTGACACATTTAATAGTAATTATTCAACGACAAAATTGTCAAGATTGTTACAAAATTAGTTAACGCACCGCCACCCTATGTGACCTGCAATTATTCAAATTAATTAATAAATAAACTAGTTGTTTAATTTTTCGATATTGATAACGAGAGTGAACGTTACAGAATCACTATTTAAGCCCAATGACTCTCAGCAATATTCAGAACATTGTTCACAGCAACAACAACATGATCTCCCAAGTAAGAATTATCACTTTGATTTAGTACTTATCACTTTGATTTAGTACTTTTTTACCTTAAATATTGAATTACATTTTTTTTAACTTTTTTTTTAGATTTTTGCCTTATCCTGCTTTGCAGTCGCCGTAAACGCTGGTTTAATAGGCCTTGATGGAGGTATTGGTTTAGGAGGAGGAATTGGTTTGGGAGGAGGAATTGGATTGGGAGGAGTCGGTATTGGTCATGGAGTAGCTGTAGCCAAACAAGTCGTTGTAGATGTACATGTAAGTCTATTAAATACCAATAAATAAATAATATTTTTTTAGTACAGTATAGACCATACTCTATAGATCTATAGTTCAACTTTTTGTTAACTAATCTTACAAATCAAACAAATATCAAACAACTAAAATTTTTGATTTTAAATATTACCTGCATTATATCAAATATAAAAAAAGTAAAGAACCTTTAAAAACGTATATTATGTAATTGTGTTCTATTTAGTTTAAAATTTAAACAATATATATAATTTTTTTATGATGGTCAAAAGGGTAAAATTCCATATTCCTGTGTTAAAAGTCTGTTTCCTAGATTTTTAACCATATTTAATATGGTTAAAAAACTCGGAATTAATTTTTTCCACTAAACCATGATTTTATTTCATTTTTATTTTTAATTTACTTCAAAACAGTTAATAATAAAAAATAAAAAATAATAAAAAATATTGTCTTATTTCAATTATTGTAATAAGACAATATTTTTTTAATTAATAAATCTTAAGCACGATCAACATTTTATAACCGTATATTTTCTCATTTAATTATTTCACCAATAAAACATTTAATCAGCAAATAAACTAAATTATTTAATTATCCAATAAATTAACACAAACCTAACAAAAACTGGACAGAAATTATATACTAGAACTTGCTAAAATAAACAGTCTTTGTTTGATTTTGCATATGCCCTAAATAGCTGACGCCTTATGGTGAATATGCACTGTTAAATTTATTGGCGAATTTTTATTCAATCGAAAACTAGTAAATCAACTGTGCAGATTAATTTTCATCATAATAAGACAATATTTTTTAATTAATAAATCTTAAGCACGATTAACATTTTATAACCGTATATTTTCTCATTTAATTATTTCACCAATAAAACATTTCATCAGCAAATAAACTAAATTATTTAATTATCCAATAAATTAACACAAACCTAACAAAAACTGGACAGAAATTACATACTAGAACTTGCTAAAATAAACAGTCTTTGTTTGATTTTGCATATGCCCTAAATAGCTGACGCCTTATGGTGAATATGCACTGTTAAATTTATGAGCGAATTTTTATTCAATCGAAAACTAGTAAATCAACTGTGCAGATTAATTTTCATCTGACTTTGCCAGCTTGCATTTTCATTTCGACATACCACGTTGGGTTTGTTGTTATGTTCCATTAAACGGTGTGTTGTAATATCTGTGGATGTTTGCTACATAAAAATTCAGGATTTATTGGTTTCAATTTGTTTATAAATTGACAATTTTCTAATTATATGTCTACATCGAAATTTGTTATTCTTGAAATACTTATGTTTCCTTTTTTAACCATGCACTATATTTTTTTTTAAACTTATGGTTAAATAGTTTATGGTAGCAAACATATTCTGTCTATTAATGAAAACAATTTTCTTATTTTTTTAGACCCCACCCAAATACGAGTTCAAATATGGAGTAGCCGATGGCCATTCAGGCGACAACAAACAACAATCCGAAGTACGTGTTGGTGATGTGGTAAAGGGAGAATACTCCCTCCAGGAACCTGATGGTACCATCCGTGTCGTAAAATACACCGCTGATGACCACAACGGTTTCAACGCTGTCGTCATAAGAAAAGGACACGCTGTTCACCCGCAAGTTATCTCCAAAGTCGTACCAGTCGCCACTCATGGAGTCGGTATCGGTCTTGGAGGACTTGGAGGACTTGGAGGAATTGGACTTGGAGGACATGGTTTAATTGGTTAGACAAAGACTGAATATCCGCTCACCATCCACTGTTGCTAATGTCGACGTTGCCATATCGCTCACGTATTTATTGTTTTTCCATCTTTTCGTCTAGGTTTAAGTTTTTTCGTGTTTTTTCTATCTTATTGTTGTTGCTCATCCCACGTCATCCTTACTTGTACGAATCAGTAATTATTAAGTACTTGTTGTAAATATTGCATATAATAAAGAATGTTTATAACGATTTTTTTATTGTTATTTTAAATTATCCTAATCCTTTCAATACAATTACCTACACAGTGAAAAATATTTGTTAATTTTAACAAAATATTAACCAGATTGTATGTTAATCCAGGTTCACATAACTTTATGTTAAGTTAACAACCCACTTTTTCACTTAACTAATTGCATAATTATAATTTGTAATTATAACAAACATTTTGTAGATTTAATAACAAACTACTGTCAATAATTCAACCATAATTCTTGTAATTTTCAAAAAGGATCTTATTTGTACAAACCTTTTTGTAGACCAATAACAAAAGTATTTGTTAAAAATTAAGAACTTAAATTAAAAAAATTTAATAATAAATGTTAATTTTTTATTCAATTTTCTAAACAAAAAATTAACACATACCTACATAAATGAACACAAAAATAATATACCTAAGAGTAACGGCAACTTTTTTCGAATATTCGCACTTCTCAAACTCGTTAAATATGTATAAGGAATTCATATAACAATAAAAACAGATTTCTGATAATATATTATAAACACTCTGTAGACAGTTGTTACGAATACGTTACGAATTAGAATAAAGTCAGCAGAAACATAAATTGCAGACGCTGAAGTCAGTTGAATTTGTTGATGCGTATTGTCAGTTTTATTGACTGCCTGAAATCACGTGTACTTTTTCAACGAAATAATTTGTTGTATTCTGTAACATTTTAAATTAACGAGATGCTTACAAAATTGCCTATTACCTTTACTTTGGGTAAAATATGTTCCTTTGTTAAAATAATTACAAGCCCTGGTTTTCTACAAAAAATTATCTTAAAATTTTACAAAATAAAATTAACAAACTACATATAAAGTCATGTTAACAAATCTGATTTTTATAATTGTGTATGAGAAAATATTATATTTTACCGAAATTATGTAAATGCTAAATATATGGGACTTCTTAAGTAGTAAGGGTGGAACTAGAAGAGCACTTTTGTATATAAACTTTTTTGCAAAAAATAAAAATTAATTTGCAATTTTGGTGAATGCTCCAGGGTTAAACATAGTGAAGGGCCATCTAAGTAATTGTTTTGAATTTAATATAAACAATAAATTGCATTTAATTTCTATTAATAAACTATTTTTAACCTTATTACATAAAATAATTAACTTACAAATGTAAATAAAAGAAAGAAAAATAACAAAAAAGGGTTGAGAGGTCTAGCTTTATTGATCGGGCTGTTGAAATAAGAAATAAGATCGCGATTGATCGTTCATGCTGATAACATAAGAAAAAAAATGTTGTCACACAATTATATTTTATTATAGTGGATTATATATTGGTAAACAATCGACAGCGACACTCAACGCGATCTCCAAGAGCATGGATCCATGGCCAGCACATAAAACCAATTCACATAACTACTTTGTCCTTGCGCAGTTTTATACGCAAAAATAAGAACCAAAGTTAAAAGTTATTTATCTTTAGTCTTATTTCTTATTTCTTATTCTTATTTCTTATTTTAGTGAGCATGAATGCGCCTAATAGGGATGTAAGAATACGTATCCAAATATCCGTTGAATCCGAATATTTAAAGGATCCGGATATTCCGGAATCAATCTGTAAATTCGAATACGGATTCGGAATCAAAATTTACGGAAACAAATTTCGAATGCGCGAAGCAAATGCGCTATGAAAAAGCCGAGCGCGGATGGTTACAACCGGCGAATTCGGAATCGCGTGAAAGTCCGCTACTTACCATAGGCGTACGATGCTTATTTAAAAAATAAAGACATGATGTATAAAAATATTGTTTTTATTTATTTAAAATTACCAGACAATCAAGGCATAACTTTAAAATATAAAAAATAAAACAACATTCTTTGGTTAACTAGTAGGTTTTTACCATAGTAATTAAACAAAAATCAACTTAAACTTAAATTCTTTGTTTTGTTAAAAAGTATCAGACACTTCCCACTACAGAACAAACCCCACTTCTCTCTGCATTCCTTACGCGGTGCCACCCGCTTGCAGAGTTGCAAATTTTATGATTTAACTTATAGATCATAGATACGTATCCGGACAGTGAATCCGAATATCTCTTGGTTCTGAATACGTATTATCCGAATATCAAAAAGATACAAATAAATCACTAGCGCCTATAACAACATAAAACATGTATACATGTACGAAGTCGGTGGCGCCATCTATCAATACCTAGACAAAGTTTTTTTCAAAATATAAATCTTATAATTTTGTGTTAATATTTAAAATTCAATAAAACTTATAATTAAATTTATAACAAATATTGATTTTAAACACAAAAAAAGTGAAAAAAAGGTCCAGGTTTAGCTGTATTGATCGGGCTGTTACAAAGTTCCCACTCCCAGACGCGATCCCACTACTGCACGACGCGGAGACTTTTGGCTGCTGGGTTTCCCCTCTGGCCCGGTTCGCCTCTCCTTGGCCAACCTGGCCGTTCCGGACTCCTCCGGTACGGCCATATTGACGCCGAGCTTAGTGCGGACATCCGGTCGACGTGAAACGCTCCGCACCAGGACTCCCGATCTCAAACCATCCACTGAACCCGACCTCCAAGCAGCTTGGATTACAGAAGGCGCCACGCTCCCAGTCGACAAAATTAAGCTGACAAACGGTTTATAAACTAACTTATGTAGTGTCGTAGTGGTGAGAGGTAATGAATGAAAATTTTTCTAGGACACATTTACTCAGGAAAAATTACAATATATTTTACCCCGGCGCATTCGCCAAAAATTGCAAATATTTTTATATCACAGAAGAAAAGCAACTTTTTCTATGTTTTTATTAATACCCAGTAGGTACAAACTTTTTATTATAAATTTTTTTTCAAAAATATCCAATTTATATTCTTGAAATATTAATAAACACACGCGCTTTGGAAGTTTTTCTTTGATTTATATTTATTTTGTATTTTTTATATAAAACCTTAAATCCTTGTCGATTTGTACTTCCCTTCATCTTTATACTATAACATAGTAACATCATTAAGCCACACCAAAGGATTTAAATATTCTTCAAAAATTTAATATCCTTTATATACCTTCTGTAGATAACCTACATACCTACTAAAGCATAGACATTGAACCGAGGATATCAAAAAATAAAAAACGTCGATAAAGACCAAATTGTCTGATGCAAGTTTTGTGCCAATTCATGAGAACTTTGTTTATTGCCGGGCAACTTTGGCACCTATAAACAAGGAATTTAAAATACAAAACCAATGTTCTTCGAGTAGGGGAAGGCGTTCAACTTTGGCTGATGCAAACATCAATAAATGTTTGTTTCTAAATCCTATTTTTTCTTTCAAAAAAGCAAGAAGTGGTTGGATTTTGTTGGTATAAAAGCATACGTGGTTGCTTAGGGTTTCAGTTCAGTTTTAAAACTAATTAAGTAAGTTTAGCAGTGTGAGTGTGAAAAATAAAGGGATTAACAATAAAAAATGCAACAAGTGAGTATATAATTATATTTATCTCCACGCGGTCTATAATTTAAACTTTATTGTTGTCAACATTCTATAAAGAAATACCTTGTTATGGCCTTTGCCGATAAAAATTTAGTAATTAGTTCGATTTTTTTTCGCTAGGGGTGTTGTTTTGACAAATTAATCCTTTTCTAAGAAATTAACGTACTAAACGGGTTTAATTTATTTATAATAAGCACTAATTTGTTTGTTTTACTGTTAATGTTTAATATTTTTCATTAAATTATTCTGCCGTGCTTAATGAAAACGCCGTAACCAACAATTTTGCGATTTTTGGTTTACGGCATTTTCTACTAGAACAACTCATCCTGCGTCTATCCCCGGTACTCAAAAAACCGTATCTATATATCTATATATATAGATACGGTTTTTTGAGTACCGGGGATAGACGCAGGATGAATTTTTCTAGTAGAAAATGCCATAAACCAAAAATCGCAAAATTGTTGGTTACGGCGTTTTCATTAAGCACGGCAGTATTGTACACTGAGAAAAAAATGGGACAAATAAACTGTGTAGCTAATACTTTTATTAATAGTGAATATATTGTTTATTACCTCTAAATAGTCGAAATAATAACGATAAATATTCTTTAGTAAAACTTTATGTGTCGGGAATAAAAATATATTTAGGATAAATAAACTGTACCCTTGTCCCATATTTAAATATGTTTTTTATTTGGGAGCAATAAACTTTTTTCTCAGTGTAAAATTAAATATGAATAATAAAACAAAAAGTGAGGTTAGGTAACCAAGAAAACGCACGATTCTTTTTCTACGATTTAAATAAAGTTATAAAGTGCTCTTTTCGTTCCACCCTTACATCCAAACTAAGATGTCCCATAAGCCAACTGAATGGCTTGTGCGGGTTAGGAGTAGGAACGGACCGACGGCTTAAAGTCCCCTCCGAAGGATTATTTTTAGGTTTTAATTTGCTTTAAGTTTTCAGTGAAATTAAATGTCAAACAGAGCTTAAACATTCCAAACTACCTATTTTTTAAATAAAAATCCAAACAAATTGAAATTAGATACCTACCTATTTATTAAACAATTAATTGAATTCAATGTAATAGCAAAAATCCATTTCTACTTAAATCATGTTGCTAGGTATTGTCAAACTATTACTGCTTCTAAAAGCAATAATAATTATTGTACATTTAATGTAATCTTAAGCTAATAAATAAATGAGATTCCAAAAAAGTGAGGTTAGGCCGTTTTGATGTTGAATTAAATTGACCTATATAAAGTGCTTTGAAGATAAAATGTTGTATGCCATTCGGCCAAGAAGTGCCTTTTTGTGCTCCGCTCAATTGTAGCTTAGCACAAAAAGCCTTACTTCTTAACCTAATGACATAAATAACTATTATTATTTTATTTACTTATGTAAGTAAAAGTTTTGCAACGGTGCCTTTGATTATCAAAATCATTAACATAAGTAATGCAAGTTTACTATAGTATATTATAGTATAGTATATAATATATTGATCTTGAAATGGGTATTTATGGGTCAGTAATTATAAACAATTATGCATTTATATCTCATTAATAGCAATTCCTATAAAAACTTGAAAATTCGTTTTGGTTTATTTGCATTTGGCAGTGTGTGGTTTGACATTTTTCGACACACTTTCTTTGCATTACATTATGCAAGCTATTGATAATGTTGCACTAGAAAATTATAGCCGAGTTAATGTATAAGCACTGGTATTATCTAAAAAGATTTACCATTTAACCAGCCGTAAATTTTCTTTTTAAGCTGAAATTGGGTGTGGGTATACATGTAGGTACAATTTATCACTTGTAAGCTAGCCGTATATTCAGTGTTATCAAGGGTTGCTAGAGCAAAAGCAAATTTAGGATGTAGGGATATTAAAATTTATAAGTGCCTATTAACTTAACTATAGATATTTAAATTTTACTATTTAAGGATATTACCTTTAAAGCCATTATTTGATACTTTTGTTCCCCCATTATATTTATAAATTTATAAATATATAAATATACAGTGTGACCCATTTGTTTGCGACTCACCCCTGTAAAATCTTTGTTATTGTGCGATTTTAACCGGATTTGTTTTAAAGTTTAGATCTTGATAAACTGTATTTTTGAAGCGAAAAACGCCTATAGGCTAGTATACTATGTCAGTTTTTGAGAGTAAATTTTAAAAAATTCATATTAGCGATTTTTTTAAACAAAATCTAAGCACGGCACTGGATTCACCACCCCTCAAAACGACCTATACTAAATTTTATTGAAAAATTTTAAATAAAAAATGCACAAAAATACCTAAGTTATCCATGAAAAAGACATTGAAATAAAATTAAACTAATAGTAACATGGTACTATTCCCATAAGTTTAATTTTATTGTTTATGTTTTTTTCATGGATAACTTGACAGAATACATTTTTGTAGTTATTATTTTGCATTTTTCTATAGAAGTATACTTAAAATTTTTCAATAAAATTAAGTAAATGGTCGTTTTAAGGGGTGGTGAATCCAGTGCCGTGCTTAGTTTTGTTTTAAAAAATCGCTAATATAGACTTTACTCTTAAAAACTGACAGTAGGCTTTGTATTTTGTACTAATATGGCGTTTTTTGCTCCAAAAATACAATTTATCAAGATCTACACTTTAATGTTTTATCCGGTTAAAATCGCACAATAAATAAAGATTTACAGGGGTGAATCGCAAACAAATGGGTCACAATGTATAAAAATATAAATTTAATTAACATTTTTAGGTTATTGTATTTGCCGTTTTGGTAGCTGCCACCCACGCTGGAGGAATAGGTTTAGGTCTAGCGCCAATTGGTTTAACAAAACAAATTGCAGTGGATTTATCGGTAAGTGTTTATACTCTCTAAAAATGAATTAGTCAAAAATAACTAATTTAATAGTTAATAGTATCTGCTTTTTCACTTGTGCCATGGTTAACCATCGAATACCATGGTATCCCGAAAACACCGTAAAAAATTATGAAAGTGGAGCAGTTTTTGATATATAGTCAATTCCATATTAAATGGAAAATTTACTATACCTCAAAAACTGTTCTACTTTTTTAACTTTTGAAGACATTTTCGGATTCAGGGTACAATTTTACATAAGAATTGAGTATTAAATTTTGGGATACCATGGTATTCGATGGTTAACCATGGCACAAGTGTAAAAGCAGCCACTATTAACTATTAAATTAGTTATTTTTGACTAATTCATTTTTAGAGGGTAAATTTAAAAAAACTGTAAATTTAAATAACCGTAATTGTTGTCTATTTAGGCTCCGGCAAATTATGAGTTCAAATACGGCGTAGGAGACCCCAAAACTGGCGATCAAAAAGAACAATCCGAAGTGAGAAAAGGTGACACTGTGGTTGGAGAATACTCCTTGGCTGAACCAGATGGCACAATCAGAGTGGTAAAGTACACAGCCGACCCAATCAACGGATTTAACGCTGTGGTATCGAGAATAGGAAAAGCTGTCCACCCTGTTATTGTCAAACAAATAGCTACCGTCCCAATTGCCACCAAAACATTAGGACTTGGTCTGGGTGGAATTGGAGGAATCGGCCTTGATGGAGGCCTGGGACTAGGAAAACTCTTGTAGACGATTTAAACTTTATATTATACCGACTGACCTCATCGCCATTTTTATGCTCATCCTTGTTGCTCATTTTGTTTTACCCTAGACTAATTAGTGTACTTAATTGTAATTTTTCCTAAGTAAATGTGTTCTAGAAAACTTTTCATTCATTACCTCTCACCACTATCACACTAGGTATATAAGTTAAAAATATTTGCAATTTCTGGCGAATGCGCCGGGGTCAAAATTTGACGGCACGAGTACTTAAAATATTTACTCGTAAGTACATTTGTAAAGAGAGGTTACGGTACGAGTAGTAATCGTGAAAACACGAGTAAAGAGTACGAGTACTTTTGAAGAAAAAAAATGTGTATGTTAATAAAAGGGCGGTGTATTTTGTATGTCTGTATATTTATTTTAAAATGAGTAGACAAGCGCTAGCCCTGATGATGTCATTAGATTAAATGACGAAAGCGCTTGGCTACTCATTTTAAAATAAATATACCGACATACAAAATACACCCCCCTTTTATTCTTTATACATTATACATACTTTGGTCCTGAGCTATAAAAATACAAATACAAATTTATAATAGTTATTTATGTATTAAGGGCATAATAAGGTTTTTATGGTCCGAGGCGCTATTTCGAGCTCGAGCGCGTTAGCGCGAGGGCTAGAAAAGCGTCGTAGGACCATAAAAACCAGTTATGCCAGCAATGCATACAAAACTTTATGCACGATTAATATATTAATATTTTTAATATATTAATGTTTTTAAAGACGTTTACGTCAAAGAATTTTTGTTATAATTGTCATATTATAATGTCAACTGACATCAGTCAGTTTTAAAGTTTAAAGATGAATGAAATTGAGGAAGCAGCTGAAAAGGCGAAAAATTGCGGCCTGCTGCCGAAAAAATCAAAATCTTTATACGAAAAAACTTACTTCGAATATATCAAATGGTGTAACATTGTTGTTTTTAATTTTTGACGTTTCATTATAGCCCGCTGGGTCATAATAACGCCCGCGGGCTATAAAAAGACGTTTACGTCAAGGAATTTTTGTTATAATTGTCATATTATAATGTCATCGTGCATAAAATTATTTATTTTAAACATTAGGTACAGGGTGATCCCCTTTAATGTTTTTATTTTAAGTGTTTTAATTTAAAATGGTGGTTATAACCACCTATAGGTAGGTACTAAAAAATACTTTTTTTCTACGTATAAAGAAAATTTGAAAATTGATCAGTATACAGGGAAAAACAAAAAGTTTATTTTTTTTTCAATTTAATTTTCGATTCCTTGTAAAATTCTAAGCATATTTCATATAATATACCCCCCCCCATATACCTAATTAGGTTTAAATTCAACCTTTTCTGAAATATTTAAATTATTTTTAAGATAGGTAAATATTATAATAAGTCTTTCTCTGTCTGAGTACGCCATTTTTACTTATTTAACAAGACATATTGACATAATGTCATAGTAATTTATTTTCAATAAAAATTTTGGTATACGTATACTTTGGTACCAAGGCTTCTTGATTTGTAACAGTTTAAAAAACATTTAATGATAACATTTCAAGTGCAAATATTTCAGAAACGGTTGAATTTAGGTATTTGGTTTGTATGAATTATAATAATAAGCATATATGCTCATAATTTTACAAGGAATCAATTTTCCATTTTTTTTACTTTCGTAGAAAAAAAAGTATTTTTAGTACCTCCATAACCACACTTTTAAATTAGTAAAAAAGTTAGAGGTTGTCGACATTATAGGGGATCACCCTGTACATAAAATAATAAATAAAAATAACAATTCTTAAATAGTTCATATAATGTTTTGATGATTTTTGGCAAAAATTCATCGATATAATAAACGGAAATACTCGTATAAATTACTCGTGAATTCTAAGAGTATTTTTTACGACTAATAAGTATTTCAAATGAAAAATACTTATGAGTACCTATAAAAGAACTCGTACTTTTTTACTCGTAATTGAAACACGAGTAAATGTATTCAGTACTTGGCCAGCTCTGACGGTCAAATATATTGTAATTTTTCCTGAGTAAATGTGTCTTAGAAAAATTTTCATTTATTACCTCTCACCACTACGACACTACATAAGTTAATTTATAAACTGTTTGCCAGCTGAATTTTGTCGACTGGGAGCGTGGCGCCTTCTGTAATCCAAGCTGCTTGGAGGTCGGGTTCAGTGGATGGTTTGAGATCGGGAGTCCTGGTGCGGAGCGTTTCACGTCGACCGGATGTCCGCACTAAGCTCGGCGTCAATATGGCCGTACCGGAGGAGTCCGGAACGGCCAGGTTGGCCAAGGAGAGGCGAACCGGGCCAGAGGGGAAACCCAGCAGCCAAAAGTCTCCGCGTCGTGCAGTAGTGGGATCGCGTCTGGGAGTGGAAACTTTGTAACAGCCCGATCAATACAGCTAAACCTGGACCCTTTTTTTCACTTTTTTTGGTTTAATTTTAACTTTTTTAGTTTCATTTTGTTATTAAAGTATTGTTTTAAAAGATAAATTTAACAAAATTGCACTCTAAAGTTTTTGGGCATAGTTCAAATCTTCTTTACTAGATGGCGCCATAAATGATATACACAATTTAAGTTTGATGTTATAATTTTTAACGATTGTTTACTAATAACGGCTATTTATATATAATACATAATATTTAAATTATAATAAATCGAAAATACAAAGAAAAAACACTCAACCCAGAGACATATCTCTGACTCAACCACAAAAATAAACGTCAAATAAAGATTTCTTAAAACGGAAGAAGAAAGTATGGCATACTTAGTATGCGCATTAATACATACAGTAGAAACCGTCAATATATGAACGTGACTCATCCGACACATTCGTACGAAGCAATCTATCGAAGGTCACGGTCCAGTGCAGTCTCGTTTGTAAAAAAAATTGAGTGTAATGTTGGTTGCTATACTTATGATATATTTGCTTTTAAAGTTAAATAATTAACATCTAACATAATTAACATCTACGATAATTAAATAAAATGTAATTTTCTTAAAAACTAATTAATAAATAAACTTTTCTTTTAACTTTAATGAAATATTCTATCATCTGATTACAGAACGTACACTCGTGGCGACATCTCTGATTTTAATAACAAATTTTTAGACCGACCCAACCTCACTTTCTTCCAATTAAATTCTTAGTATAGTCTGAAACACGTTTGGAATTGCATATTCCCCTCTCGTGAAACCGTCAAACTTGTTACAGAATATACTATTCTTTTAACTGTAAACGCAAATATTTCAGAATTGATGACAAAAAACAAAAATGTTTACGCAGGTCAGGTACAAAGTGAAAGATATTTAAATTGTGTGGATATAAAAACAACTTGCGTTAGTTTCACGAAATTTATTAAATATTGACAATTGTTTCGCTACACAGTAGCTTCTTCAGAATGTATTAAACTAATACTAGTACAAAATTTATATGTATAATAAAAATATTTTTGTATTCTAGCCTAGAATTTCTAGGTAAGGATTTTTATACGACATCTACCTGTGTTACATAATATAAACCACTGCCACTACAACGTTTAAAACGATTATTAATCCGTAAACACACAGTAGAAACAAGATATGCAAAAACAAAGATCATATGACATATAAAAACAAATGGCCGACGGTAAAGTTGGTTGCCTTACTATGTAATAAAATAAAATAAATTCCTAAAACACGAACTCTACTGACTTCCAATAACATTAAATAACAAGCTAGGAGCCAAGCGTCATATGTCCATCTTTGTCCAACACCTAGGCAGTTTTACATCACAGATGGCGCATTTTAGACCGGATGCTTAAAAACCTACGTGTAAGTACATTTACCGCTGCATCGAATGTACAAGACAAGTAAAACATTACTGCTAGCATGTCTGAGATATGTTCGGCACCCGATGAGTCACGTTCATATATTGACGGTTTCTACTGTACATAATACATTAATACATAGATGGCGCAACTACTACGCAGTACCGTTGAGTGAAGAAGTCATTGAAATAATACTATGTGGAAGAAGTACACCTTTATCAATGGCAGTACAAAAATATGAATAATGTGGTGTTTGTATTAATTATTTATATTTTAAATAAAATAATATTTCTTTATTAAAATTATATTAAAAAATACAGTATTAGTAATATTTATTACTGCCATCTATGAAAGAAACTCATAAACACACCTTTGCCACCTATCATATTTCCTAGAAATGTTCTAACCTCAAACGCCATTACTCACTAATTCAGTCAACGATGGCAACAAACACCGATTTAACTGAAGAAGATGCGGCCGACTTGCAATTTCCCAAAGGTATGTATTTCTTCGTGTTTACTTTAAACTCGATTTAGGTTTATACTGAAATTTCAGACAATTTCAACCCGGCGCCAATACCTTATTTCTCGAATAAATTAATAGACGACTCGGATATCACCGGCGATTATTGCGCGAATTGCGATAGTGAATTGGGCCCGAAATACATACAGTGCCCGCAGTGTAACGTAAATTTGTGTTGTTTGTGTTTTTCCAAGGGGGTGGAGTTCTCAAACCACAAAAGTAATCATGACTACAAAGTGCTGCATACGAACTTTATTTTGTACGATAACTCGGATTGGACTGCCGAGGAAGAGTTAAAATTGCTGGAGGGTTTGAATTCGTATGGCAATTGGAACTTGGTTGCTCAAGATTTGCCCAATCGTAGTGTGAAAGAGATTATTGAGCATTACGAGCAGTTCTACTTGGATGGGGGTGTTTTATTGGATATTCCGCGGTTTCCTGAATTGGACGCAGCCGCCTTTCCTCCTACGATTGTGCCTTACCAATTTAAATTGACTGATTGTGATGATCCACCTCGTTACTCATCAAGTTCAACGTTTTATGCCAATTTGGCAGGTTATAATGCTGCAAGATCAGAATTTGAAAGTGAATATGATGCCAATGCAGAAGATATTTTATCAAACCTGGAAGTGTTGGATGAAAGTCATCCTTTCTACAAAATAACAAATAGTCTGCAATTTCAACTAATTGAAAGTTATAATAAACGTCTCAAAGAAAGGCAGAGGTGGAAGGATGTTATGAGAGCTCATGGTTTAATTTCAATCAGGAAAACTGTAACGTGGCTGAGAAGATACGACTTAACAATTACAAAACCAATATATGAAAAGTTAATTAAGTTTATGCAGTTTTGCGATCCCACTAGCTTTGAGTATCTTATGGAGGGTCTGCATAGAGCTGGGGAGTTAAAAATACAAATATCAAGGTAGGTTGTATTGCCAATTTTTTGGTTATATACATATATGTCATGGGATTTATAATTTCAAGAAAATTAAGAAAACAAATACCTGGTATAGTTATTGTTGTATCTACAATAATATTCCATGTTATTTTACCTTTATCAAAACCGCTTTTGATGCCCACAGAGGAAGAAATGATCTTAAAAAGACCCAGACAATGTATGTAATAATATTTTCACTTTTAAACATTTTATAAATAATTATTTCAGATTAATACAGTTAAGAAGAAAAGGTGTCGCCACCCTAGCGGGCGGCAAACTATTTCTAAGAATTCAACAAATACACGAAGAAAACAGAAAAAAGCTCAAAATTTTCCGCTCAAATTCGCAGTTTAATTGGAAGGCGATTCGCAGCAATAGCACCACTTTGGTGATTCCAAAGTTAAATAAACGACGACAAGGATTTTCTCCTTTGGACATAGTCGGTCTTCCAGGGTACGAAAAGTTGACTGACAAGGAGAGGGATCTCTGCAGCAAAATTCGTTTGGTTCCTGCCACTTATTTGGAGCTTAAAAGTGTCTTGGTTTGCGAGAATAATAAAGTGGGGCATGTTAAGCTACAGACTGCCAGAAAATTGTTAAAAATCGATGTTAATAAGACTAGAAGGTTGTTTGATTTTTTGGTTGAGGAAGGGTTTATTTTAAAATAAAATTATTTGGATTTTATATATAATTATTGTGATATTTTTAACCTGTTACCTATTAAATAGCAAATAAATTTACCAATAAATACAGAGAGTTTTTCTTCAAACACTCCAAGGAATGCAAAAATTTCTATAATTTTTTAATAAAATAATTTCTTAAGTATAATTTATTTGGGCAGAATTATTAATTAAGTTGGATTAAATTGCTAAAGTTACATTTTTTAGTATTTAAAAATAGTGTCTATAGACATTTAAAATAAATACACATATAAAACATTTTTTACCAAAATAGTTTAAAAAGTTATTTTTTTTTTAATTCAAAACAATGAGAATCAAAAAATATTTAAAATGTAAGTTTAAAATATTGTAATTTTAATATTTTATTTTACAAAATTATTGGCTTAAATTTGTAAAGTCATTTAAATGATACTCGATCAATTTTTAATACAAAAATTCTCACATTACATTTAAATGTAAGTTTTAAATTTTGAATTGGTAATTTTTGGATTTAAAATTTATCATTTAAATGACTCTTGAGAAATTGAAACCAATAACTTTTATTTTTAACAAATTTAAATTGATACATTTTTAACACAAACATATTCACATTACATTTAAATGTCGATAGTTTTTAATTCACAAAGTGTACTGCTTAAAATTGACCACTCTAGAAAGAGCGTACGACTTTTGCTAATGCTACGTTTACACTTTATAAATTAAAAATTATCGACTTACATTTAAATGTAAAGTTGTGTTAAAAATGTATCAATTTAAAATTGTTCAAAATAACAAGTTTTGGTTTAAATTTCTAAAGAGTCCTGTAAATGAAAGTAGATAAATTTTTAATCCAAAAATTATCACTTTAAAATTTAAAACTTACATTTAAATTTAATGTGAGAATTTTTGTATTAAAAATGTATCAACCATCATTTAAATGACTATTTACAAATTTAAACCAATAATTTTGTAGAATAAAATATTTGAACTAAATTTTTTTTAAATCAATATTTTTAAGCTTAAAGTTTTACAGTTTGTATTTATATATAAATAATTTTTTGACCATAAATTTTTCTAAACTTTAATCTAAACTAACACAAATTACAAAATGAATTAATTCAATAAAAATAATTATTTTATTTTTAGAATTTGAAAATGCAGAAACCCTTCTGATATCAGAGGTTCACATGTTGCTTGAGCATAGAAAAGCGCAAAATGAGTCCGCTGAAGATGAACAAGAATTTTCCGATGTTTTCATGAAAACTCACACCTACACAGATCGTTTTAGAAAATTTAAAAACAAAGAAACCATATCCGCCGTCAGAAAGTAAGTCGATTAATTTTTATCTTAAATTTAAGTTTTTTATTTAACCTAACTTTTTTGTTTAATGTATAAATAAATAAACATTTACTAAAAAAAAATCCAGATATAATTCATGGACAAATTTAATAAAAATAGTATATTGTTATACTTATGTAAGTGAAGAAAAGTGCACATTAAAATAAATGTTTTGGGTAATTGAAAACTGCCCTTACATTTATTTTATTTAAAACCGAGTTATTGAAAACTGCACATAAAAATTAATGTTTTGGATAATTTAAAACTCGAAATTAAATATTCGATGAATGGTGTATGCTTATTGAAAACTATTTCAACAAATTTTAACCAATTTCCCAACCCCTTTCCTGGTGTGTTTGTGAATAAGGAGAATTTCACTTGTACAGCGTGTTGTACGATTACACGTTTATATATTTTTTTTAGTTTGTTAATGCAAAAAAAGTTGCACAAATTTGAGTTGGCCGCCATTGCCAATTTGTGTCCAGAAACCACCGAAGAGGCAAAATCTTTAATTCCTTCGCTAGAAGGACGTTTTGAAGATGAAGAACTGCAAGCTGTTTTGGATGATATCCAGACAAAACGCAGTATCCAATATTAATTAATTAGTTTTAAGAAAAACTATAATTTGCTTGTATAATAAGTAAGTTATTTTAAATAGTAATTTTTAATACATGACTTAATTAATTAATTAATATCTCATTTAAAGTTTTCTACCTACACCTGTTTTTGTTTTAGTGATAGTAAACCATTTTTAAATTAATTAAATTTATTTATGAATATTCCTAGAAATCCCACTTATTGTTTATTATTTTATATTCTTAAAAATAAACATGTAGGTTTTAGCCCTAGGCTGAATTATTTTATTATAAAAAAAAATTCAAATAATTTTTTTAGTGATTTCACTCATATATTAAATAAAATTACAAAAAAAATCATAACTTAGATACCTTATACGTTTTATTATAATTTAACAATATAAACAAAGTATAATTAAAAATGTGTTTTTGTCTGCAATATAACAAACCTAAAATAAAATTTTAATTTAAACCTAATGGTCTATCTAAAATGTTCTTCCAATATAAAATTAACTGGGTGAAATAATTCATAATAAAATATTATTTCAGCAGGCATGATTTATTTTAGGAAATGTTGCAGATAAATATCTATTTTTTATTTATATTTTGATTTCAAGTATCAAAGAAAGTTACTAATATTTTTGGCTATTTAAAGAACAACAAGAATAAAATTACGGTCGACGCAATATTTTATTAGTTATATTATTTATTATATGTTATTTTATAATTTTTTTATAACAAGTTATATAAATTAATTTAAAAACCTGGTTAAAATGTTTAATAAGAAATCTTTGAAAAGCTTAATATTTGCCGGTAAAACATTAATAATTTCAGGTAGAGTAGCCATAAAAAATTCTCTTCACTTACACTGTGAAAAACTGCTTATATATATTTAAATGGTTGTTAGTCCATTTTCAAGGAAGAAATTCGACAAACTTTTATAATAATGTTCGAAGTAGAAAATAGTATAATATGATACTGTTTTTCCACAATTTTTACGGACCCAAATAAATTTACCAGTCATGTGTTTAGTTTATAAATATGCATGTAAAAAAGAAATTAAAATTGAGCTAAAGAAAATATTATTGCGGTTTAAAAATATCGTCCAATTTTGAAGTTATTTTGTTTAAAAACAACATTTGTCATAGCAAACAGGCGATGAAATAATTATTTCATTTATAGCATGAATGAATTTTCTATAATAAATTTAAAGGTGAACATGTTTTTTGATAATTTGCTCCTGCAATTATTAAAATTTAAAGAGTTTTATGGGTAATGTATGTTTAGTATATTAAAAGAATGAGAAGTTTTCCACTAGAGTTAACTTATATTTTTTTATATATTTTAAAGTAATATTATTAGTACCTACTTATATTAAAATACTAGATACCTATGATGTTGGGAAATCAATATTTGTATAATAAAAATAATATTTTAAAACTAAAAAATAAAAATGTAATGTAAAATGTATATTTTGTACTTTTTGAGAAAAAAATCAATTATTAGAAAAAAACTAAAACTAAACCAAGGTAATTTCTTAATCAGTTCAACAAATAGAATTATTTTTTTTTCATAGTAAAATTTATCATATTCGATTAAATAAAATCATTACTAAGTTGCCTTTATAAAGGTCAATTACCTATATAAAGTAGGTATAGTTTTATAAACTTCTCTTGACATTCGTTTTTATTAAACAGTCGCTCTCAAGTTTCGCTCTTAAATGGCGTTGAATATAAAAAAAATCTGTTGGATATAAAAAAACAAAATCTAAAAACCGAAGTTTTCGAAATTTTTTGTACATTGTAAAAATTAAAATACAGAGGGAGCAGCACAATTGACTTTCATTTAAATAAAAAAAAATTATTCCTTAATAATTCAAAACTACATACATATTGGCATGAATTCCACCTTTAAGGGGTAATTTTTATTATAAAAGTGGTATCATAATTAAGCCATAAAAAATAAAGTTGACGTGTTTTTGGAATTTAAATGTTGTTAAACAACAAAAATTTCAAGATACAAAATTTACTCCAGTTAAAGTTTTCACCGTGTATAATATTAGTTATGATAGCTTCAGGAGAAAAAATACAAACGTAGAAGTTCGGTAAGTATAATTTCTTCAGATCCATATTCGGCTACTGTCAATGTATATATTTATTCTACTTATTGTTGTTACTATTAGGTATTAATTAAATATTATATAATATATGCAACTATATACTACTAAAAATGGAAAATTGTCAATTAAACATAATCAAGTTTTAATTCAAGATTCAAAATTATTGGCAAATCTCTTTAATAAAATATTTTGGAAGTTGCATTCTAATAAATTTAAATAAATGACAAACCATACACACCATAATTTTTTTCGTTATTCCAACAGATTACAATGAAAACTCGACAGGAATTGTGATGTGAGCAATGTTAAAAATAAGCAGAAGTGTATCATGCAAAGAATATTTTAAAGCCTTATCATCTTTTAATGTTTGTAAGACAGAATTTAAACTTATTCGTCAGAAATAATGATGTTTTTAATGGTATGCATACCAGGGGAGGTACGTTGCTAAGGATTCCCACACATTATTCCGAATTGTATCATCGAAGCGTTTTGTAAAAATCTGTTCAAGTTACCAAATAAAATTAAGGACATCCCATCAATTACAAAATATAAATATGCTTTAAAAGATTTTCTTCTACAAAACTGTTTTTACGCTTTCAATGAATTTATAAACTTTATTTGTTAGTGTAGGTATTTTTAAGGATTTTTTAAATAATATACATTAATCTTAATTTTACTATTATATATATATATATATATATATGTAAGTATACTTATATATATATTATTCATTTAGTGTAACCTATTAACGTCGATATCATTGTAATGATCTTATGGCAATAATTTTAAAAAAATGCCAATAGATTTAAATCCAGACATCCGACTTTTGCTACAAATTTTAAGTTTTCAGGAACAAGAACCTAAGATTTTGTTGTAAACCCGCTTTTCTCTATTTCAAATTACTAAAGCCTTTGATCCAAATCAGTACAGAGTTATTATTAAAAGCACGGCATTTAAGGACCTATAATGAAGACCTCCTTCTAAATTTCTTTGTACTCACTTTTACCCGTCAGTCCAAATTATTGAAGTTTAAACTTCGTCCTCGTTTTAACTCAAGTGTTGGTAAAAAAATTACCTACAGAGCCCGCCCTTTGCACGACAGTCATCTTGAAAACAATGCCAGCGGCGAAGTTGTGGTGAATGCACGTATAGTTTCAGTCAAAATTTCAGTACTGTGGTGAGTAGTTATTTTCTTACGTATATTAGGGTGAGCCAAAAAACTAACCTATCGGATTTAAAATGGTTAAAATGAACCTACATACCAAATTTCCCTGCAAGGCAAAATTTTTTGCTCAATTTTAAAAGGTATCGGTGAGCATTCTAAATTTTCCATTGAAATAACACGTAAAAAAATTTTTTACGTCGCGGATTCTTGTAGAGAATAAAATTTCCCAAAGAATCTATACCAGGAATATTTTTTTTAATTCAAAAATTCGTATGTTTGAAAGCTTTGAAAAGTGTAAAAAATCATTAAAACTGCGACGTAAAAAATTGTATCTCAAACGGTTCAAAAGTTATAGTCTTTTTAATGAAAAAAGATTTTTTTACGTGATATTTCAATGGAAAACTTAGAATGCTCACCGACACCTTTTAAAATTGAGCAAAAAATTTTGCCTTGCAGGGAAATTTTTTGCTTGGTATTGTAAGGTTCACTATGTATTTTTGTAACCCGATTCTTTAAGTATACTGAATTACTTATTTTGGCATATTCGTGATCGTCTAGATAATTTACTTACTTTATAAAAATTAGGACTCTACGTTGTGTATTTACTTACATTGATAATAACGATATTTTGAAATTGGTCAGGTTTAATGAAACACAAGTATTTAATTTTAAACCCCTGATTTAATTTAAGCAAAGACAAAGGGGTGGCCCGTTGAGTCAAAGCACAGGGAAAAGGGACCATAAAAACCCTGTCGACTTACACAATTCAAATAAAAATAAAATACAAAACAAAACATAGTTATATGGGTCATAATCACAAGAATACAGTATAAGTAATAAGTGAATAAAATAACATAAAAAGCAGATAAACATATTTCATATAATTTGAGTGTTTTTATCAATATTCAAAACATTTTGTACTCAGGTAAAATAGTTATAATAGAGATCGTCATTTTTATGACGGAGTGTTGTATTTGTTTACCTTACCACGCATCTTCGAACTATTGAACGAGGATACGATTTTATATAAATAAACTACAGCAACGACATATTTCTGATAGAGAGAATTCATATGCTTTAACCAAGTGCAGATATTTAACCGTAGCCAATAACCACACTATGGAACAATTGCATACTCTGCGAAGTAATATAACGACAGCTATGGTGGTCCTATCTCACTAAAGTGTATATCACAATATGTTCAAATATTCTTACAAAATCAATGCCCAGAACAAGACAAAAGTATTGCGAAAATATACAAACAATTCTGCACACAGAGTTTATATAGGTAATAACATAAAAACACTATTTTTCTTCTAAGGATAAATCCTTTTGAAATAATGCTAATATATTACCCATGTTCAAATATTCATGCATGAGCACTCTCCAAACGAAAACACAAGTACAAATATAGACACAAATCAAATAAACAATATGCAATAAAATAAAATGGTATAAAATATAAATAAAATACAATAAAATAATAAATAGGAGAGTGTCATAACAAGAAACATCTAAACATGGCCCGAACTCTAACCACCAGAAAGTGTCGCGCTGGATAATAATATAAAGAGATTTTTTATCATATATAGTAACGTTAAAGTCATTATCAATATTCCATATAAAGCGCTAAGACAAGCAGTTTAAATCAAAGTCTCTATCCAGAATCTATCAAAAGGCTCAACGATACTATTACCTTAAAGTCATACAAAGTTATACAAAAGAAAACAGCAAAATCAAGGCCAGTGTAACTCAAAATAAAGAAAATACAAAATAGTAAAATTTAAGTCAAATGTAATTCAGTGTATGTGCGACAACATAAAGATAGGAACTCAGTGTATGCGCGATCACAAGATATTAAACCAAAATAATGAAAGTGAATAGTGATACAATAAAAATCTTTACCAAAAATCACTCGCTATTTACACATATTAAACTGATTAGGACCCAATAAACTAGCAATGATAAACGTCATAGACCAAAATGCGAATTAAATAATATTGTTCAAAATTATAAGCAAAAATGTATTAAGAAAACCCAAAACGAGGAGTTGTTTATCATTACTAGCAAATATTACAATTTAATAAAGTATACATACCTAATTATAGCAGAAAATCGGTAACAATCACAAAAACTATAACTATATTATAATATATTTCACAAACGTTTTAACAGGAGTATCTCGAAGGGCGAGCAAAAACCCTCTGTCTCTATTCTATTTCCTAATCTAGCTTTTAAACTCTATGCCACTTAAGCAAGAATGTGTAACATAAACAAAATCCTCCTAATATTTCGACGTTCAGATACAAAGAAGTGAAATTTTTAAACGCAATAGGATTTTAAACATAAAATAACTTAAAACTATAATATTATTTCTAGTGGATTATTTAAATTTTCCTTGGTTAAAATAGCGCCAAATTTGAATTTAAAAGTTTATATACTACAGGACCCTTACAGTATGTAGGTTCATTTTAACCCATAAATCCGATAGGTTAGTTTTTTTGGCTCACCCTAACGTATATATATTTCATTGTAATTTATATAAGGCTATATGTGATTTGTCGATAAGTAGCATCCACTAATAAAAAATATCAGTAAAATACTTAATTCCGAATTATAATCTCAAATTTGTATCTCATTCATCAGTACCATGTCGTCAGTTCCATGTTCGATGTTTCGTTATCTTTTTTTCGCAAACTTCAATTTAAATTCTGCTTGCGCAGAACTTGTTTATTTAATGTCATTATAAACTCATATAAATTTGGTGTGGATCCCATAATTAATAATTGAGATATCGGTATACCCAAAATCCACCAGCCGCCACTGATGTGTGGTATTATTTGATTTTAAGATATTTAATGTATAATATGTTCAAAGTTGCAAGAAGTCTTATATTTTCCAATAAATTATGTATTTAATTAGTACCCTGGTATACTCGTCACTTCCCTTGCATTCAAATTTAGAAAACACAGATGTTTCAGAAACTGTTTGAAAAAGTGACTGACCCGGTCTGGAACAGTATATTTATTATATTATCTACTCGTATGTTCTCATAACAAAATACTGTTTAATTTTCTCCGAAAACTATATAAACAAAATGAGGTCAAAAGTCGCCCAACTTTTGTAGAATCACCCATATTTATATTTTCACCCTTAGTATCGTTTGTCAAAAAGTGAAAACGACTATTTTATTAGTAAACAATGCTGGTGCTAATTTAAATATTTAGTAGAATTTTGACTATTTCCTTTTAAGAGAGTACTGTTTTAAGTTTTAATAATACAATTCCAAGTATATCGCCTATGTCAAAAAAAAACAACTGCAGTGTGCGGCCGGCCTATACCCGACGATAGATTTCCATTGGTTTTATTTTCGCGGGCCGCCTCCGAAGACCTTTCGCCGAAGCTTGGCCGATGAAGCGCGAGCGTCGGCGCTGGCCGACGTCGGCGCCTCGGTTCCAGTGATGCCACCGCTTCTCGAAAGTGACGGTCGCACGCGCTCTGCCATCCTCTCATCGAACCCGCGCATCGCATTTCACCGACTTAAACGTGACGTGCACCGCCGACTTTTTTGCGCGTCGAGTGATTTGAATTTTTCCCCCATTTTGTGGTGACTCTGTTTTATTTTTTTCACAGCACGTGGATTTCGTCCGAACATAATCTTCGCATTGTTATTGGTAAGATTATTGTTATCTCTTGTTGTGATTTATGGTCCCGATTATCGGTTATCATTGTGTTATTATTTTGTGTCGAGTTCAACTCGAATACAATCTTTAAGTTTGTTTTGTTAATACATTGTTTCCGGCGTTATGCGCTCACTTGCTTGTTACTCCTCGTTAAGCCATTTGTTTAATTCAATCACAATAAAATTAAACTAGAACCGGACCAATCGAAATACACCCTTACATATAATTAATTTTAAACTTTTTATACTACATACAGTAGTATTTGTACTACTTCACGTTTCAAATGTTTTCTGATTGTGGTTTTATTAAGTAACAATCAACTATTTATTATATCGTGTAAATTTAGTTTTTAAACTATTATACTCCCAATTTATGTATGCACGTTTATCTTTTAATTAACTATTATTATAAACCAAGGGTTGATCTAAAACTAAAAAATATAACTTTCAGTAAATGAAAAAAAGCCCTGATTTTATCTAAAAAGGTTTATAAAAATTGGAATTAAATAAACAATAACATAATATTATAACAATTACCTTTCAAATCCTGTGAAGCCCAAAATTACTCTATGTCTTTGTGTTTACAAAAGTCGCTGCTGATATTATATCATTGAAAAAAAAAAACAAACTGCGTGTGTCAATGTACTATTTAAAATCACACAATTTCTAATAAAACCTCATGGGTTGCCCAAGTCAGTACCTTAAGAAGTAAGGGTCGAATTAAAAGAGCACTTTTGTATATACCATACATATAATATATACATCTATGTATAGTTAAATTACAACATTCATATTTACTATAACTCAATTCTACACATGAAAGGATTTTTTAACAATTGGTAGATAGTGTATGAAATACCTTTACAAAACTGTTCAGACTACTGCTTTTGTGTTTTACTTTTTAAACAAAATTTTTATTCTTATCGTATCAAGTAATCGAAAACCTTTCCAACATTTTTTTAGCTTTATACCTTGCGGTTAATACTTCACTATTTTATAGGCGCCACCAATAACTTTTTATAGTGCAACCTTATAGTATATTATCATAATATTATTATGTATCAAGTTTGATAAACGCCATTTTATACACGAATTAATTTAAGCACGAGCGAGCTTGTGAGCGAGTGCTTAAATTAATGAGTGTATAGAAAAGTTTATAAACGAGGTGCATACTATACTTTTTCTACGACAAATACTTATTATTATCTTAAAATGATTTAAATCAAAAATTTGTATAGAGCGCCATCTATGTCACCGTCAAATGTCAATTTTTTTTATTTTATAAACACAGATTATAAAGGTTATAAATCGAAATGTATTTCTTGAACATTGACAGTTTTTCAGTGAAAGTAAAGAAAATGTTTTATGAGCACTTTACACTGGAGTCCGTGTCCGAATTTAAGTTATAGTTTTCTGCCGGCGAAATTAAAAGGTCAGTACAATGTTCAAATAAACTTTTCAAATATTGGCGTTGAGAAACTATTTAATACTTTTGTATTTTTGTATTGAGATAATAAAATAATTTTCACATTTAGTATTATTTTACAAGAAAGGCACTTTATTTTAACGATTGTATGACATTTGACAACTGTTAACTAACTTAAAACTAACTTCAGCCCGTGACTAAAAACCTGTTGCTAACTTTAGCCCGTGACTAAAGCGCCATAAAGCCACAACTTGTCAATGTGTATTTAAAAGGTCACTTAGTGGCATGGAAACATGTACGATAAATGGCGTTTTAAAGGTGGGAGTAGAAAAAATACATTATAAATAGGTATATTTTATAACAATTACATTTATCCTACGAAAAATATCATACATTTTAAACTTTAAATGCATTTCTAAAACAATTTATTTGTTATCTTTAAATTGTTTGAGAAAAAATATCGTCTTAAAATAATAGTTTAACCTTATTGTGCACTCGTATAGATAAAAAGTAAAATTTTATATAATTTCGAAGATCCACAAAAATATGTTTTATTTTATTATTGAAATATAAATACATAAATAAAATATAATAGATAAAAATCAAAATATTTAATGTTTTTAACAAGTCAGTACATTGATAACCTTATCAAATAGTTAACATGTACCTAATTTGTCTAAAGTAATGATGCCTTAATCTTAAATATAACATACAAAATATAATAAAATAATATGTTTGATATCTAAGTATCTGGGTTAAATAATTAAATCATTAAGTTTCAATTAAAACCCAGGCAATATGAAATTATTTTTTAACACAGGCTTTTATAATTTGGAAACTTCCATGTTTAAATTAAATTAAAGTACATTGACGTTTTTTATTATTTTACATAAAGATTACAAAGCGGAACTACTTATCAATGAAAGAACATTTTCCCGTGTTTTGTTCGAAAAAAGATAAGCAACTTTTGTAATTCAAGAATAACTTATGCAAAAGACATTATACATAATAAGGTATTTAACGTTTAAATAGCTTTAAATGGGTTAGGTAAGTTCACCATTAAAAATACCTTATTATTTTAACTCAACAATCATTATTTTTATACGTAATGGTTTTGTTTTTGACTTGGTCTAATTTTTTATTTAACTATTTTTTCAGTTAGTCAAAATTACCAATTTGAACTTTACAAACCATAAAATCTTATATTTAATTATTTTCCAGTCTCTTTGGACATTTGGAATAAAAAACTTAGGCTAAGGATGCAACAAATAGAGCTAATTAAAAAAAATAGGCATCTCTCATGAATAAAACCAAAGATAAAGTTGTGTTCGTATTTCTTTTTATATATAACTAAAAAGGTTTCATATAAAAAATAAATCCTCATGCATTATTTATAGGACCTTTTTAATATTTCTTTTACTTTCAGCTTAATAATAGAACCTAAAGGTAAAATTATAAGACGGACCCTTGCCTCTTAAAATTAATGATTGATGTATAATTAAATGTTTGAGTGACAATTATATATTGTGGTTTTTAAGTTTGACAGGACAAAATATATTGTATATATTATTATTTATATAAATTAAATAATAGTAATATATAAACTTAGCAAAGCCTGTTTTTTCTCTCTAAAATACTATTTATCTTTTTCGAAATGTCATTAACATTCCAAAGCCGCTTCTAGTTATTGAACTACTATTGCTTAGGTCGAAGTTCGAAACCATTTTTATGCTTTCATAGTGCAAATGGAATACAAAATAAATATATTTATTTAATAAAAATTATTTATTAATGAAGATTTTTAATTAAAAAATTTAATTTAGAAAACTTAATTAAAAGTCAATGGTCAAACATAATAAGACTGAAATATTACCACGTCATTAATTTGCATATACTCTACCATCACTTACAATAAATCAAATAAACTACCGTAAACACAATGTATAAGTACCTATATGCAAACATTTATAAGCGTGATAATTACTATTAATCAATCCGAAATCAATTAAAATTTATTATGGGCCCTATAACGACGGTTTAAATTACCAGATTACCTATATTTAGATAAATAATTGTACCAGTAGATAGATTTATACAGCCAAAATATTTAATGAATATGGCGTTGCAATTAAGGTTTTAATGTAGTTAATACCATTTCAATATTTATTATATTTAGTAATATTATTAAAAAAAAAATGAAAAATAATTTGACAGATTTTTAAAAACCTGTTAGTGCTCTTTCAATAAAAAAAATCCATACATAGAAGGATACTAAACAAAATATAATATGTATTAATTTTTATCTCCCTGTGTTTTCTTACACCGAAAAAAATATATTCGTTGAGTTAACATTTGCCTAAATGTCATTTTTGAAAATGTTGTTTCAACAAAAAACCTATTGGATTAATCTATATTTTGGTGTCAAAGCAATAGTCAGAGTTTGTCAAAGTTTATTTGTTCATTTGACAATTTAAAATATTGATCTTACATGAACTAATTGTTTGAATTAAAGTTTTTATCCTATTTTGATTTAATAGCTGGAATTGGTTAAATCAAATACTAAAATTGTTGGGATTACCTAAAAAAACTATTAGATTAACGTTTAGTTGCTGTTTAATCCACAACATTAAATTTGTTCATTTAACAAATTGTAAATGTTATTTTAAAATTTAAAATGTTAAATTTGCATTCATAAAGTTGCCTTAACACTCTAAGAATGTTAAATTAACAAAATTAGCAGATTGGAACAAATATCCTAATTTTGTTCATTTGACTGTTATTTGTTGTTCAATTAAACAATACAATTAGACATTTTTAGATGGTTAAGTAAACGTGCAAAAACCATTGCTTGTATTTAAAGTGCATAAAGAGTTGAATTAATATTTTTTTTGTTGTTTCAACAGCTTATTTTTTTCAGTGTAAGTTTAAATTTATTCATATTAAATACAATAAATTAACAAAGACATAACTTACTTTTAAGTGTAGCTTTAAATGGAAAAGATTACAGCAAATTAAATATAAATCTTAATTAATTAAATTTACTAGGCGCTCTTGAAGATTAGAATGGTAATACATATTACTTTTAATTAGTTAATAAAAGTTAAGCAGTACTTGTGGCAAGTAGTTAATTGAGTTTGATTTCCATTCTGTTACGACTCAATTGAATTACAGCTTACTGTTGGACTGCAATAAAACAAATCAGTGATGAAATTATTTAGAAAGACGAATCAGATAAGGAAATTTACAAATAAACACTCAAAGATCTGCATTTGGTATAAAAGGTGAATTAATAATTTTTTTTTACTCCCACGCCATTTATCCATGACACTAAGTGACCTTTTAAATACACATTGACAAGTTGTGGCTTTATGGCGCTTTAGTCACGGGCTGAAGTTAGCAACAGGTTATTAGTCACGGGCTGAAGTTAGTTTTAAGTTAGTTGGCAGTTGTCAAATGTCATACAATCGTTAAAATAAAGTGCCTTTCTTGTAAAATAATACTAAATGTGAAAATTATTTTATTATCTCAATACAAAAATACAAAATTATTAAATAGTTTCTCAACGC